AGTAGCTAGCTTTAATGTACTGTTACTGTGTTTCTTTTGTTATTTCCCCTCTCTCCTCTTGGTCAAGGGAAGGCCATAGATGGAGCCAAGAACTCCACCCTTGTGTGGAGCTGTGACTTCAAATATGATTTCAATTGTATTTCCATGTGGGATTTTGTTTGATTTTGCTGTCATGGTATTTGTTTCTTTTTCTCTGGGTGGTACTTATATTGAGTCCTCAAGAAGAATCTTCTCAATAATAATACACCCATATGGAATTAGAGCAGATATTCCCCACTCCAAAATAGTTGTATATGAATTGCAACCTAGAAATATAAGAAATACAAGAGCAAAGTAACCTGATTCCTCCAAAATTCAGTTGCAGAGAAGGAGGACAGATGAGCATAGGAGTCCATACCAGGCTGATGAAACCCACAGAAACAGCTGACCTGAACAAGGGAGAGCTCTTGGTTCCCAGACTGATAGCTGGGAAACAAGTATGGGACTGAAACAGAGCCCCTGCCCCCCGAATGTGGGTGTCAGTGAGGAGACCTTGGAAATCTAAGGGGCCCTTGTAGTAGATCAGTACTTATTCCTAGCATAGGAATGGACTCTGGAAGCCCATCCCACATGGAGGGATACTCTCTGAGCTTAGACGCAGGGGTGAGCCTAGGCCCTATCCCAAAGGATATGACAGACTTTGAAGACCCCCTACAGAAGGCATCACCCTCCCTGGGGAGCAAAAAGGATATGGGATAGGTAGGGTATTAGTTGGGGGGGCAGAGGAAGAGGGGAGGGAGAGGGTCCTGGGATTACCATGTAAAATAATCTTCTTTCTAATTAAAATAAAAAAGTTAATAACTCTACAAAAACAATCTAAATATGTTAAAATGACTGCAATATCAGGTAAATAAAACAAAAGTCTAGCTAAAAATTGAGCAAAGACCTCAAAAGGGTTCCAAGTTAAAAAATCAAGGTCAAGAAATTCAACAATTTCTTTAAAATAAAAAGAATCTTAGATATAATAATTCACTTAACTGAATAAGCTCAACTCAACCAAAAGTACCAGCAATAATAGCAAGACCAGAAAAAAGAAAGAATATTAGCAATGAGGATGAAGTTGGGAAATTGTCTCACTCAGCTAACAAGGAAAACAAAAACAAACACACAAACAAAAAAAGGCAATCACTGTCACAGCCTTCAAGATGGCTGGGGCACAATTAAGAGACCAAACTTACAAACGTGTGGAATTTGAAAGCAAAATCAAGCTTTAGACTAAAGACATGGGGACCTTATCCAATGAAACAATAGCAGAAAATAAATGTCCTCAACTGGGGCTGGGAGGATAGACATCTGAATACATAAGGCATTTAGATCCTAGATAGACAGAACCAGAGAAAGAATCTCACTACATTTTATTATAAAATGATATCATTATAAAGCTTAGAAGGAATCTTGAAAATTGTAAGAGAAACCCCTGCTAACTTACAATCTTCTAGAAGGAAGCAGTTTTCTCAGCAGAAACCTTAAAACTAGGAGAGGTTAGCCTGAGATAGTTCAAGCCTTTAAACAAATAACTGCCAATCAAGATGATTGTAACCAGTAAATCTATCCTGCAAAATTCAAGGCAGAAGTAAAAGTCTCCCACCAGGTTAAAATTGCAGAACATACTTAAGAGAACAATACATAAGAAAAGGAAGAAATATATTCACCACATGAAAGAATCAAACATAATTAACACACTAACCTATAAACCTGGCAAGACAAAGAAATTTAGCACATACCTTTCAATAATTATCCTAAATGTAGATGGTTTTAATTCTCCATTTAAAAGACTCTGCCTGAATAAACATATTTAAAAACAAGTCCCAACTATTTTTTATCTACAAAAAAACTCTCCATACTGTCAAAGACATACAAGGGCTGAATCTTGTCTAACAGTGCTTCTCAGAAGAGCCATCGCATAATTAACAAAAACCACTACTCCTTTGAGATCTTGGCCAGGTTGCTCAAGAGACTCCAAAACATTACAGCCTATTGCTATTGTGCTTGGTTGTCTTCCAGGGGTGGAAGTTAAGTCCCTGTTGTTGAAGTCACTATGCACTTCAGACACAGGGTCTCTGGGCCACCTCCCTGAAGAACAGCTTTGATGATACTTTCAAGGGTGTGAAGCAACCAATTGTCCTACCCAGTTATGATGTCTATGAATGACAACAACCAGCTTGGCACAGTAACCCTAAGGATTCAGTAGTGGCACACATACCTTGGTGGTAACTAATAACTCTCAAATTGGTTTTAAGGGCCATTAAACAATAGGGATAGCATGCCTAGAACTGGAAACCTAGTCAGCTACCTGGGGCTAGTAAAGTCAAGAGTCTTGAAGGAGATCCATCACTTTCCTAAATCAACACAATCCCTAACTTCATTCAAAATTGCACCCTTATCTCCACAGATAAGTGTAACTCTCATACCTCCTTGAGGAAACATCTCTTTGCAACAAATGGAGACCACTACAGAAAACCACAACCAATCAAAATGCAGAGTTGCGGGGCCTAGTCCCAACTGATACAGCTATAACACAACTCCCCCATCTTAGGTTCAGGGATCATTGAAAAGGAGGGGAACAGAATTTTAAGATCCAAAGAACCAGAAGTTATCTGTGGAGTTGTGTCTCCTAGAAATGCCAGAGAAGCTACGGTTATGATGTCTCATCCAACATGGCTGCCTGAACACAAGTTGAATAAGGACACCAAGAGGCTTCTTAATGTGGAAAGGGGAAAACTCACAAGTCCTCAACCCTAGACAAAGACCTACAGGCCACTAAGGAATGCTAAGAGCTGGAGAAATAGTCTTCCCCAGGGACGAGCCCACCAAGGAGTCATACAATACCAAATGGTCAGCTCTGAAAACATACACATACAATTAGCATTATAAGAATTGAGCAGGCTCTATTTATAAATTTAGGAACACACACATACTTAAAAAGAAATACATAGACTTAAAGTGAAAAGATGGAAAATAAACCTAAATATCTGACAAATCAATATTATACATATATACATACACACATGAATGTATTATATATATCTTTCTTTTTTGGTTTTTGAGACAGGGCTTCTCTATATAGCCCTGGCTGTCCTAGGACTTGCTCTGAGGATCAGGCTGTGTGTGTGTGTGTGTGTGTGTGTGTGTGTGTGTGTGTGTGTGTGTGTCTGTGTTTGTCTTTTTCTTTTTTGAGACAAGGTTTATCTGTGTAGCCCTGGCTGTCCTAGGACTTGCTCTGTACATCAGGCTGGCTTCGAACACAGAGATCCACGTGCTTCTGCCTCCCAAGTGCTGGGATTAAAGGTGTGCACCACCACCTCCCAGCTAGCTCACTTATTTATCAAATCTAAAATGTTAGAGTCATAGAAGCAAAGAGGAGCATGGTAATTACCACAAGTGACTAGGACCAGAGGCTGAGAATAGATAGGTACAGGAAGGTTGTATTAAAAAGGGAAAGGTTTCAGTAAAGAAGGGACAAGCTAATGCCTACACAGAATCACTGAAAGAGATAGACAGTACTCACAAAGAAATGATAACTATTTGAGGCAATGGATACATTAAGGAACTTGGGTTGATTGCTCCACATTGCTACATCACAATGAGGCCTATACACATATGAAATCATTGCATCAATTAAAGTAAACTTTAAGAAAATTTAAAATAAATGGAAGTGTTTGAAGGCACTGAGCATTTCTCAAGAAGGCAAAAGTGGAAATGGAGGTGAGTCAGTGACATTCCTGACTGTGCAAAGTGGCTGTGACAAATCACTAGATGAGCTGGTCTGGGACTTTGTCTCTGGAGATCAAACAGCATGGCATGTGTCTCTATATCAGGAATTCCAAAACCAATGTCTCAGATGCATGAGAAAAATATACCATAAATTTGGGTTTTGATTTTTGTCTAAGTAGATAAGAGTATTTCCTTCGGGTAATTAAAAACACATCAAACAGCTGGCAGACAACATATTTTTGACAACAAAATATGACAACATATTTTTCAGATATATGCTAAAATGGAAACACTGACAGACCGAGGGGTAAAAGCACACACAGTCAGTCAAAAACAGCATGTTTAGTGAGTTAGGCCTGTATCATTACAAAATATTTAAGAACAGTCACACACTAACCACACACAGATCATCAAAGCATTCAACTGTACCCCAAGGCCTTCATTCACCACACACAACACAAGTATCAGGACTGGAAGCTTTTCTTTGTCATCTTTTGACAAAGAATACAAAGGTGAGGTATAGCGTCAATGCCCAATCATAATCTGGAGGCGTGTCTTCTTCTTACAATATTTCTCTTGCTATATATATAATCTATAGCAAGAGAAATAATGATGGTTGCAGACACAAAAACCTACCCTAGAGTTTTGGGAAATATTTTATGAAATCAATGTACTGAAATTGCCAGTGATGAGAATAGGCAAGAAAAAATGCTGCTGAGAGCAACTCATAGAGGGAAGTAGGTGAACGACACAGGTTGGGTGCTCAGAGGGACACACCTGTGTGGGTTCTGATGAGGCTGCGTCTCTAGGGCCTCCAGGACTGTCATGTTACACCGGTTTCTGTGGTGGTTTGAATGACAATGGTCCCTAAAGGGCCTATAGTATAGACTCATGTGTTTGAATACTTGATCCCTGCCTAGTCAGTGGAACAGTTTGGGAAGGATTCAGAGGAGTGGCTTTGGTGGAGGAGGTGTGCCTCTGGGGTGGACTTTGAGATTTCAAAAGCTCACTGCATTCCCATTTAGTTCTCTCTCACTCTCTCACTTATGGATCAGATATAAGCTCTCAGCAACTGCTCCAGCACCATTCCTGTCCCCTGCTGCCATGTCCGCCCCTGTGATGGTCATGACTCTAACTATCTGGAACTTTGAGCACCCAAATTAAATGCTTCCTTTCGTCAATTGCCTTACTGTGTCTTTTCATGGCAATAGTAAAGTAACTAAGACAGTTTCTAAGCAGAAGTTTACCTTATGTTGTTCAAGTTTTCGTTGTATTGTGTTTGCTGTTTCTTCATGGACCTGCTGAATGGTGATCTCTTCTCTCAGGGCCACCTCTGCCCTGTACAGCCAGGCACCTATAGTGCCCAGAGGTGCAGGGAGAGATTTATCCAGCTGTATATGCCAATCAAAGAGCTGAAACAGGAGAAAAACATGTCTCTGCTATGGAAGATAATTCCTAAAATTTCACCTAAATGAACTTAGAAATCTACAGAAGACTCACAGAAGTCCTGGGAAGACAGCTCAAAGAAGGGACAAGCTCACCACTCAAGTATGAGGTCTGAGTTTGATTCCCAGACCCACAAAGAAACCTGCATATGGAGGCATCTGCTTATAAATAATCCCAGCTCTGAGGAAGTAAGGCCAAGTGGGTCCCTGGGTCACCCCTTGTCAAATTCAAAAACTGACAGTTCTGTGAGAATTGCACATGGTTGCGCATGCAAGTACATGGATGTACATGTGTGAGTATGCTTGTACACACATATGCAATTGTGCACACACACCACAAAGGTGAGAGATAGAAAGTGAGGTTGATTAAAGATAAAAACCCAGGTTAATTCAATAAATTATCATAAAAGAAAGTACATTCGGAGTTTGACGATTTGAGCATGAGAGGGAAATTAAGATCACAGTAAATTTTGGGACAAAATACATGTTAGACATGGGAGTACATTGTTAGAACATGTAAGTGACTTTTGTCTATGGGAATAACCTGGTGACTACTGATTTGAATGTGACTTTTGTTTAAACAGAAGTGACGGGGCCTACTAATGAGCCCAGAAATTGCAGCATCAATACACCAGATATGAGAATCCCACTGAAAGCTCCTATCCCATCAGAAAGGCTCTAGCAAAACAGGTTATCGAGATATCTCCAGACAAAAACAAAAGTTTTAAGATATTTTTAGATATCTTTCTTTTTAAAATATTTATTTAGTGTGTATGTGTGTGTGTGTGCACACACACACACAGGGCCTGGGGGCCAATGAAGACTTGAGTGTGTCATGACAGGTGTGTGGAGGTGAGGGGACAGCTTTTCAGGGTTGGTCTCTCTTTAGACCTTGCCTTGTTGCTGCTGTTGGGCTGCACACACCAAGCTATCTGGCTTGCAAGCTTCCTGGCAACTTTCCTGTGTCTACCTCACATTTCTCTGTAGAAGAACTTGAATTACAGATGTGCACACTCTGGCTCTGGGTTGTCAGGCTCAGGTAGCAAGTGCTTTTATCCATCAGAATCCCAGATTTGCATCAATGCACCTGGCTTTTCACAGGGGTTCTGGGGATTGAACTCAGGTCTTTAGGTTTGTGTGGCAAGTGCTTATACCAGCTGAACCATCGTCCTTGTCCAGAAATCAAAGGTGTTTTGCTAAATTCTCTCCATTTCTTCCATTTTCCCAAATTCTGACATACCATTTCCTGGTCTGCAGGAATTCCAGCTTAAAAACATCTTATTCCTTGATAAAGTTTGTAGGATACATGAAATTATCAAATTAAATAAATAACAAGTTAAATAAAATCAAGTAAAATATTTCTGTTAGTTGTAGAAGATGTCCAGATCTTTTCAGTCTTTCTGGTTAAGGTTTGATCAAATAGATCAAGCAGCTTTTCCTTCACATTTATAAATGACCAGACAAGCAGTGATGCTCCAATTACAGAGCATGCACTTGCCTGTTCGTTACCACAGGAAGGTCTTGAGCTGCTCAGAAAACAACATTACAGATTGTGAGAAGCAGCTGACTATTCCAGGAAGTCTTCTCCAAGGTAAGAGTCACCATTTCTAAACAACTGGGAAGGAAATTCTGGAGGAGACAGAACCCAGGAGCTTTCAGTCGGTCTGTCTGTTGCCCAGCTGATGGCAGTCATGTATGGGATGGGAGAGAAGGGAAGCACCTCCAGCACCACACAGGGAAGCCTGACCAGAGGGCAAGCGCTAATCCTCCCATGGTTACTCCTTTCCAGCCTCAGCCAGAAGGAGCAGGGCCTTATGCAATAAAGCCATGTGAAAGATGGTGAAGCACAGCTTGGCTAAGACACACAAATCCAAGTGAAACTAACTTACCCTGGAAGACACTCTCTCCCAGCACTGTTTTACCAGTGCTTGGTCAAGCGATAATTTGCCGTCTCTGTGCATTGGCTGTATTAGATGTTCCACCTGTTTCCTTTTTATCTCATATTGAACTCGGAAGTGCTTAAATGACTAAAAGAGGAAACACAGATACAACATGGTAATGAGCCCCCAAAACCAAAAGCAAAAGAAACCATATCCCCTAAGTAACGATCCTTTACATTTGGAGAGCACTCAGCAGCTATGTTGTTGATAACATTATCAACTACAGTTAGGACACTGAGCCTGCCTAAGACCTTGAATGTGCTTGGTGTTTTCTATACATCATCCTCTCTGGCTCTATCTACACACACACACACACACACACACACACACACACACACACGAAAGGGAGTTTGAACAGAAGTACCCTGCTTAGGTGGACAATGCTGCTCCCAGAAGGGGTGGGTTATGAAATGAAAATCTCAGTGTCAAGCAGAAGCTACCTCCCTGGGAGTTATTGGCACCCAAAACAACACAGTTTTATTGTGTTTAGTTTGTCCATCATAACTAGATGGCAAGACCCTATAGCTGAAGACACCACTAACTTGGTTACAGTACATAGAGAAATTACCCTAACACTCACCAGGAAACTCTCTCTCTCCTGGCTTTCTTACATAGGGAAGGTTGTGAGGAGAAAAGACATCAATCGCTCTTTCCCAGTGCTGGACACAGCATGCAACAATAATGACCCACTGGCAGGATGTCCCCACTGGTGTGACAGTGGCACACAGCAGTTATGAGGTTAACAAAGTGCTTTCTGATTGGGCCCCCTCCACAGGTAGGATCTTGTTTCTGTTACTATAAAAATGGTCAAAAGCCCATGACTGGAGCTCATAGAGCCTAGCAGGAGAATCTACTGTTGTTTTTGCTAAAGGAACACACTGCCAAACTGCATCCCAACTACTTATGTTAACACGTGTAGATCTGGGCCACTCTCAACTTGATAAGAAATGTTTTATTTGTGAGTGAGTCCTGGCTATTGCAGAGATTCACAACTGGTCAATGTGAAGAGTATAAGCAATTCTGAGTGCTCTGTCATGTGGGGGACATCCACCTCAAATTCCCACCATCCAAGGATCAGGGAACTTCACCAAAGGGAGGAGAGAAGGTAATAGTTGGTGTATGGGAAAGAAAGCTGTGGGCTGCTCACTTCTGGACACGGCAGGCTATTGTACCCATCAACTCTCCACAGCTCTGGTGACCTGCACAACACATGCCCAAGATCAGTCAATCAAAATTCTAGCATGGAGGGCACCTGAGGTCCCACCCTTAGCTGAGGAGCTATGGACCCTTGATGGCTCCTAGGAGAGGGAGACTCACTCTCCCTTATGGATGGCAGCTGGTAGTTTGTTTATGTTCCAGTTTGTGGTCACACACTTACACACATATGGGCAGCACTAACTGGACTCAAGAAGATATCAATAACAATAATAGATAAAAGAAGACACGAAGGTAGGAAGACATGGGGTGAGGAGCATTAAGAAAAGTTGAGGGAAGGTGATGGTAGATGCATATAAGTTGTACAATTCATGAAACTTTTAAGGAGTAACACTATTGCTTATAAATAAATTTAAAACATTTAAAAAGGACTATAGGAGAAGCTGTAGCCACGCCTACTTAGGGGCTGGCTACAGGTGTGCCTGATCACGCTTGCGAGGGTGTGGTCAGGGTGACGTAGAGTGACTGCATTTTCTCTTTCAGTTTTATTTTGGTACTAGCTGGACAGACAGCTGGCACACCGGCTGGCCAGGTCGCTCTGTAAGTAAGGCTTTTCCCTATTAAATACCCTTATGTTTCTACCTGACTCCGCATTGGTAATTTCCCACTATAAAGGACTAACTTCTAGGTAAGTAATTTATGAACCAGTTCATATTGCCAGAAACTCATAGTTAAATACAAGTATGAATTTATATATACTAATGAACAGAATAACTGCTTTACGAAGAATTCTTATTATTTATAGTATATGATATTATATTGACATTTTAAGTAGTATCATATATATTACATATGTCAAATAATGCTGAATTAAACATACCTAGATTTACATTTAAGCAATTCTGTGTAAATCCGTTTCCTTTGGGACCTTATTACTTACATAATAATCATGTAATTTTATGCCATAAAAATTTTAAGTATGACACGGAATATTTAAAATTTCATCACATTTAGATTTAACCATACTTGAAACTAAATAAGTCATCCTGAAGTTGTATGGTTTTTTTTTTTATAATAAGCTAGCATGTCTACAAAGTGCTTCTATTCACAGATATGGATTGTAAACAACCATTAATTGTAAATTTGGCATCTAAAATGTGACTCCACATCCAGGGTTGAAATGAAAATGCCATTAAGATGTGCAATTAGATTACAGAGATGGGGAAAGCCCTAGAATCCAGCAAACTCTGGAGAGAATTTCAGTTATAAACATGCAAATTCCCTTGAAGAACACTAGGGGGAGTTGATGAATACAAATTTGACCATAAACTCCATCTTGCCCTCCCTCTTACTTAATGGAATTTAGGAGATACCAAAATGTAAAAGCAAAAGAGCAATCTTTAATTTTGCCCCACGGAATTCTGTGTTTGGAAAAACAGGAGCCATGTTACTTCTGACGAGCCGAAAATATGGATTATGTAATGTGAACATGAAAGAGAATTTTCCCACATGCAGACTATGGACTATCTTCAGCATTGTTTTAGTGCTGACAGTCATGGATGGGGAAGGAGACTGTCTTTTTGTGTTTTGTTTGTTTGTTTGTTTGTGTCCTGAATCTCTGATAAAATAACACCCCATCCTGCTTGGAATTTTAATTTTTGACTATTTGTGCTACAGTTAAAATTTATCAACTAACAAAACAAACATGTCTCCTCTGTTTCTACACTATGTTCTCAAGTTTGCAGGCTTAATCATTTTATAATGCAACTCATGGAAGAGAATTTCATTTTGGGGAAAACAAGAAGATTACACAGAGTTTCAAAGCAAAAGGATCCATGGAAACCAAGCACAAATTTATTGATTTGCCAAGTTAAAAAAAAAAAAAAAACACAACATAACAACAATGGCATCTGAGTTTAGGTTTGTTTATAAAGTGTGTAACATCACACATTCATGGTTTGATAAGTCCTTTATTGTCTGCCAGGTTGGATGTCTCACATCACTGCACCTTTCTGGTAGGGGGAAAAAAAAAAGAAAACAAAAAGTGCTGAAGTATAACAGGGTGTGTCACATTCAGCTTGCCCACTAAAACGAAGTGGAATTTGAAATGGGAGGAAAATGGCAACTCGGCAGGGAAGAAGTCACAACTTTTTAATGGGAAAATCCTGCTGTGGCAAGATCTCCTGGGAAGTGTAAATTGAAAGCAGAAAGTCAGCTTGAGGCATTGGAAGGAGACTGGACACGGCACTCTGACATCAGCCCAAGGACAACTGCCCAAGGTAGACAGGTCACAGTGAGTCCAGAAACTCATTCCCTCCATGGACCCTCAGAAAATACTTAATGAAATTCTTTTTATACCCCGTTTATTGTAGTCTTCTTTGGTCTCAAATCAGTTGTTCATTTAGTGATATTTTTATGGCCCTTGACATCTGTAAACACAAAAAGTCTTTAAAAGCAATGACTCCATGTGTTTATTCTGTGTTGTAGGTAAGACTGAACTGTCAAGAATGATGACAACTCAACTGTCTGTACTGAGGGCACAGTGCAACCTTAGAGTACCCACTTAGGTAGAATCAGTATTGTTCTATTCAAACTTGAGATAATGCTTGCTACTTATTTAAAGAATTTTCTCATTCATATGATTTGGAAGATTACACGTATATATGTGATATGTCTTCATTTCACCCATGAAAAGCTTCTGAAAAATCTAAATCTCTTTTTACACACTCACCTGATATTTGTCCTGAAGACTTGACTCTGTCATCTGTGCCCTAGTCAAATCTCTCTCAAATTGTTCTATCCAGACTTTGGTTTCCTTCAAAATTAGCCTGTCTTCTCTCTGGAAGTCAGATAACATTGAAATGTTATTAGTAACCATAAAATGAATCTCTGATTATAATTAGTGTTTAGTATATACCAAGTATTTCTGAAAATGTTCTTCTGCCCAGTCTTCATCATTCTGCAGTATATGAAACAAAACTGATTCTGGATAAAATGTCTTTTGAGTGCTAAAATTATCTTCCTTCCCTTCCCACCTCAACACTAAGGGGAGGTTAGTGTTGACTTAAGTTAGAGTACCAACTGATAATAAGGAAGAACGTGCTCAAAACAGAACATCTTGCTTCCAAAATATACCCAGAAAAGTGGTAAATCTATAACAGAGACATAAGTCTGAGGGTTGCTTCCCAAAACGTGGTTATTGTTTTGGTTGCTTCCCAAAACATGGCCAGGGATCTACTATGGGTGGGGTAAATTTTGGTTGCCAAGGAGTCATCACAATAACATTAGACAAATCACACCTATTGTATATTATCACAATATTTACTATGTACACAAAAAACACATGTAGACGCTTCAGTGTTATTTCCTACTCTTTGTCTATATTTCATGTCAAACACCATCGTACCAAACAGCTAAATTGGCAGCATTCCCTTCATTTCTCTCTCTGTAACACAAAGGCACATTTATACTTTTAAGACATATCTATATAGACAAAAACTTATGGTGTTTGGATCAGGAAACAGAAATAATTTCACATTTGACACAATATTAGTTATTTCTAGCTTTCTATCTCCATGCTGGCATAGGTCGATTGCATTGATAGCTATTTATACCCAAGGCCTAGAAATTATATAAAGAAATATGGAGAGGTTAAAGGATAGGCTAAGCACTTAACAACTTGAACATGAACATTCCTTGTGCAAAATCTTTTGAGAATTTACTACATATATGGACATGACCCAATATTGAGCCAAAGATCTGTCCTCATACTGGGGACACACTGGACCCTTACCTTTTCCAATCTTTTCTGTTTCATGTTTTCAGATGTCAAAATAGTCATTTTGCTTGATTTCTACTTTTGTTTGTCAAATTCAGAAAAGTCAACATAATCATTGTAAATCTATTAGTGTTGTTAAGTACATTATTTGATACCATATTGTAATTAAAAATTAGTGGGCTTAGGTTGGCAATAATATTTAGCCACACAGACATATATTATTAGAAAGCAAAGGAATTTGCAATGTGGAGAATTAATATATTATTAACATAAAATTAACACATTAAAAGGAAGGTGAGCATGAAGAAAATACATGCAAAAGAATGATGAAGTAGCTAAGGAGTGAAGAATATTTGAAATGCTCATTCAAGACTCCTTAAATCTTACCTTGGAATTTTGTATAAAATTTGCAAAAGATGGAAAAACTGGAAATAATTCCTAACAATATGAAAATATACAGACACATAGAATAAATCAGGAGCAAAATTATGTAGAAAAAGATGAAAATCATTGGAGAGGCATCTGTCTATTGATAGCTAATAATTTAAGGTGTATAATGACATTAAAATGTTTACATAGATTCCAGCAAGTCACCGAAATTAGCTGACCATGGATTTTTTATTTGAACTTGAAATAGTCATATGTGGCAAGACATATAATTTGGAAACATGTTTTGAAATAGTTTCAAATATGTTAGGTGAAATATGTAAGGAAAGATCAAATAGACTCAATTTCCCCCTGTAAATACACTGACAGAATATGCATCTCTCCATGAGTACCACAGTTAAGACTGTGCTAAGGTTAGTCAATAATATTGTAAGGGGAAAAAAAGTAATTGAAAAGTTATTAGGTAGTTGAACAGAGTTAACTGGCCTATTTTGTTCATTTATGACTTAGTACAAATTACCCAAGGAATATCTTAAGTAAAAAATTTCTTCATTGGTATTATTGGTTGAAGAATGGCATGGTAAATGTATACTTCAGTAAGAACATTTACATATAAGTGTGCGTGTATACACACATACATATGTGTGTGCATCTGTGTATACCTGTGAGTATATGCATATATTTACATTTTACTTATTTTGTTCATGTGTAAGGATTTGGTGGGAAGGGAATGCTTCCACAGCAGGGATGTGGAGGTCAGAGGATAACTTGGCAGGAACCAGTTCTCTCCTTCCACATGTGGGCCCAGGGACTTGAGTGCCTAGTGTCAGGCTTGACAGCATGCTTCTTTACCCATTGTGCCAACCGCTGGCCCAAGAGATCATATTTCAAATGCATCCATAGCATATTTCATTAAAATATAGTCATTGAGGTGCTACAGAAATCAAATACATAAAAGTAACCTGACATTATTTTTAAATGGACTAAGAAATTTGCTAAGACCCAAGTGAACAAATACCAAAGGCTCTGAAGGAATGGCATGTGTAACCCTAATAGAGACACCAGTAACATGTGCAAAGTTCTTTTATACTGCTATGCACCATTGATGACATTGACAAATACAAGCTCTAAAATATATTTTAATTATTAAAATATTCAGTTTCAGATGCTTATTTCCTGTATGTAAAAATCTCACACCAAACATCTTCTTAAAATTAATTTTAAGATGACCAGGAAAATGTCATCCAAGTCTTCCTATTAGGGAAAGCATGGAGGATATTTTTTAAATAATCAAAATTTATTTCCTACATTGCTGTTAATCTGTTAATATTGAGGCCTTTTGTGAAGTATACTAATGTACACACTCCTCTGTGTATGTGTGTGTGTGTGTGTGTGTGTGTGTGTGTGTGTTGTTCTCTTCTCTAAGGATTTTTGCCTTAAATTCTTGCTCACAGGCATCCTCTTTTGCCCATGAAATGTCTCCAGAATTACTTGTCTGAAAAGACAATTCTTATCAGAGACATCCCCACAGTAAAACCTGAAAACCCAGTTTATTCATAAATCCACCTTGGGGAACATATACACATTTCAAATATGAAAGTAAGCTGGAAACCTTTGTGGTGTGTGACTCCAGTACTTTAAATAAAATTCCTCACCCACACAGCAACTTGCAAGTCCAGGTTTACCATCAAAACCTATAAGCCTGATTGACCATTCCCTGGTATGAATCCACACTAGCAGGAGCAGGGGCTTCACTTGAGTCTGTGCTTCTTGGGGACATTCGTTTTATAATCGCAATAAACTACTCTAGTGGTCAGTCTCTTCCTGGATGCCAGAAAGAACAAGAACAAAAAGTTTCCTAAACTATAGGTCTAGGAAGCCCAGTTCTACAAACCACTCACTCCATTAGCACTGCCCAGGAGCACCTTGAAACAGTAGTCTCCTTTTTTCTGAGTCACTGACTCGTCCTGTAGGCACAATACCTGTTGTTCTTGTGGACTTGCCTTCTGCTCCCTGATTCTCTCCTTCTTGGTCCTGTATTAACGTTTGCACTCCTTTAAAAGCATTTGTTTTATACACATTTTCTTTCTATTCTCAAACAGCTCCAAAATTCCAGCTGAGATCAGGGCAACGGAGGCAGAGGCATTCTGTGTCCTGGATTATTATGTAACCTTAAAATAAAATTTGAACTTTGCAGTGGCAAATCCATTATGCTAAAGTTTAAAAGAATGTAATGGAAGTTTTGAGTATTAGAACATTGTGTCCATCGATGTCACGTCCTAGGAAATGAGGCATCTGGTGTGCTGACTAGAATGCAAAACAGGACAGGCATTCTATACCAAGGCTTGAACAAGACGTCAGACATCACTGACAATTTAAAATTCAAATGAGAGCAGGAATTCCACTCCAAAGAAATAATCTTATAAGAGAATTTCATCCTGTTATTTGTCATAGATAATTGGAAATTTACAGTGTCTAAGTTTATACAAATAAACAATTGTCCATACGCACAGTAGCCTGCATGGTTTTTCTTATTAATGCAAAAATAACTAAAGCTATATGAGTGGTATAATTTTTTTCTAAAATACTGTGAGTCTACATATACATAAATATGTTAGGAAGTAATACCAATGTATTACTTTAGTTTGCATTTCCCAGAACACATTCTATCAAGAAGGTCAAATAAAGGTCATTTTCTTTTCTATTTCATTTGAAATATTATGACAGTGAACACAGGTCATCTGAGTGTGTTGAGAAGTGAAATGTCATTTAAACCATTGAAAGCTGGAAAATCTAATTGCAGTGAGTAATTAGAACTTGGGAAAATTATGCCTGACTTCTGGTGTTTTCTGCAAATAGATACATAAATTTTGAAATCCTAAATTAAAAATTTGCAGATCAAGTACAACAAGGAGCCTCCAGACTTTGTGTACACTTGATGTAATATATTAAAGCCCTAAACGGCTGACTCCCCTTAATTTCAATTTAACTAGAACATTTATTACTGGCAATGTTCTGTCTGGTGTACCTGTCATATGAACCAGATAAATCTTTGCTAATCCCATCCTATCTGCTCATAAGTATTCTTTACTCGGTTGTAATTAAATTTGCATCCTTGTTCTCATATAAAAATTCAGTCCGATTAACTTCTTAAAAACATTATACGTGTATAAACTATGCTCTCGTCGTAGTGGAGTGGCCATCAATTCAGAAATAGCAAATACCTACCTCGGTCTCCTGCCCATCACAGCCTGCACCGTGGGTATCAGGATACTGAGTCAGAAACTGGGCTACATAGGTCATAATAGACTTCTCATCTGGCTTGTCCACATCAACATCTGTAAAAACAAAACTTAATTATGAGTTAATTCATTCCCTAGGTGTTTATCAATGTGAGTTTTGAAATGTAGCTGCCACCCCACAGACTCCCATCCTGAACCAGGAAGAAAACTGAATTACTAATAGGAACAGTGTAATCTGGGTGAAATTTTATCACATGGAAAAGTGACACTAACTAATTACTTTATAAAAACCCCTGTAGACTTTCAATATCATTTCTAGGGACTGCTGTAGGATTTATAAAGTGAGGTGACTCCAATTACTTAAAAAGGGAATGAAAGCTCTGGAATTTCTGAGATGACTTAAATGTGATCCCTGATGTTAAAGACACAATGGGAGGGAGTAAAATTGCTTCAAGAAATGTGAAAAGGGGGCTGGAGAGATGGCTCAGTGGTTGAGAGCACTGCTTGTTCTTCCAAAGATCCTGAGTTCAATTCCTAGCAACTACATGGTGGCTCACAACCATCTGTAATGAGATCTGGTACCCTCCTCTGGCCTGCAGGCAACATGCAAACAGAACACTGTACACATAATACATAAATAAATCTTTTTAAAAATTAACATAAAAAAGAAATGTGAAAAGGGAAAGAGAAGCTATATTTGATGTATGACATATGTCATGATTTAATATATTTTGTTAATTCTGTACTAACATGTAATGTGTTTGGTGACACCAAATAACTCCATCATACAAATATATACATATATATATATATATATACAAATGAATATATACTATACATATACATATTTCTAAAATAACTACTATAATAGGTATTATTTTACTTTAATCTATCTCCCTATAATTCAAATTGGCTGAATGGATTTTGAAGAAGTTTGCATTAGGAAAATAGTACACTTGGGAGTGAACTCTTTAGATTTTTCTCAACTTGATACAAGTGAGGGTCATCTGGGAAGTGGGAACTTAAACTGGAAAAAATGCCTCTGTCAGATTGGCCTGTTGGCAATTCTGTTTGGTATTCTTTTATTGTTATTATTGTTATTATTATTATTATTATTAATTATTTTGTGGGAGGGCCATGTTCACTGTGGACAGTGTCACTCCTAGGCGGGTGACCTTGGGTATGTAAGAAAGCAAACTGAGCAAGCCATGAAAAAGCAAGTAAGCAGCACCCTTCCATGATCTCTGCTTTGGTTCCTGCCTCTAGATCCCTGCCTTGAGTTTCTGCTCTGAGTTCCTGTTCATGATGGACCATAAGATATAAGATGACATAATCCTTTCCCTCTCAAGTTACTTTTGGTTGTGCTGTCTGTGGCAGTAATAGAAAGCAAACTAGGACAGATCATCTCAGCTTTATCTTTTAATTAATACATTTTTTGAGACAGGGTCTCACTATGCAACTTTGGATGGCCTGGAACTCATTATGTAGACCAGGCTGGCTTTGAATTCATGGACACCCACCTGCCCACATCGGCCTCCCAAGGTTAATATTAAAGGTGCATCACCATACCAGGCTTGGTCTCGGGTTCTGATCAAAAAGTTCTATATTAGGGGATAAGAAAGATTTTTATTCTGCACTAGGAAAACTTGGCTTTTAAAAACAGATGCATTTAAGTATCTGTGCCTGAGTATATGCATATGTAGGTACCAGCAGAATCCAGAAGAGGGCGTCAGATCCCAGGAACTGGAGTTACAGGCTGCTGTGGGCCACCACGTGGGCACTAAACCCAGGTGTTCTGTGAAAGCATCAAGTGCCCCAACCATGGAGCCATGACTCCAGCCCCATATTTTGTCTTCCCTTCATCCTTTCCTTTAAGTTGATGGCTGAAATGTGTACAGTTTTAGGGGAGTGAAATGAGGCCAAGTTCTTGCCGGTGGCTGTGCTTATAGTAAACCCTGGGCCCAAATCAGGATCCTTACTCAGCCTGGATTTTCACAGGCCTCTCCTCTGAGGGAGCCCACACAGGTCTCTTTGAGTTTTTGAGGCATGGGAGCTCGTTCCAAAATCTCATTTTTAACAAGTTTGTTTCTGCTGTGTATTTACACTTATGCACAATTAATGTATCCATTACAAATTAAAGTAGAAATTTCATAATTACCAAGCTCCCCGCCAAAAAAAAGATCTATAGCAGTTGGCTAACCTACTTTGTCATTTTTACTTCACCATAATAAACAGCTTACTCTTTTATGTAACACTTATTGAAGGTATCAGAATTGTCTTTGAGGACTTGAAAGAGCCAACCCTATTTCTCATAAATCTTCAAATTGCCAGCCTTTCCAGTAACAGCCTGAAGGATAAACATTAGTCAACCCTGGGAATTATGCTGATTGACACACAAATACTGGGTGCTACCCTTTCTGTAAATGTGTGATTTTTCTTTTCTGATCTTCTTTTTATTTCAGATTTGCAAGGTGTTTATGGATAATTCTTTTAACCTGCCACAGCCCTCCTCCTTCACACAGATACCATGAAAACCTTTCAGCAGAATATCATTTTTTAAAAAAATTAATTCTTTGAGGATTTCATACAATGTATTTGATCATATTACTCCCAGTTCCTCGAAGATACACCCCTACCTGCCTACTCTCAAATTTTATGCCCCTTAAGAAAAGGACCCATCAAATTGCCCACATATTCCTGCCTATAGAGCTGTCTACTGGAACATCATTGACCTATCAGGAGCCTCACCCTTAAAGAAAAGTGACTCTCCTTTTCCTAGAGGCCATCCTCTGTCCTTACCTCCTAAGTTATGAATGAACACATGAACTCCATCCCACACTGTGCTGGAATATTGACTAATTTGATGTTACACAAAGCTGCTGTGAGTTCATGAGTGTGATACTCCAGTCATACTAGAAGACACACACCGTTTCTCCCCAGGGACTGACTCCTACAAGATTTCTGCCATCTTTTCTGCGTGTTCCCTTAGTCTTGGGTAGGTGGGAAGGATGCAGATGTTCCATTTGTGATTGGTTACTTCACTGACATTCATTTTCCACACTTTAATCCATTATGTGCTTCTGGATTAAACACCTCCCACTGTTCAAAGAAACTTTGATGGGGTCTGAGCGGTGCATTGATCTTTGGGTAGAGAAATATAAATTTAGAGCCACTAAAGGGGTATTTTAAGTTTTGTGCACCAGGGTAATATACCAACAGCAAAGGGCCGTCTGGAACATTGGCATCATAATCTATTCTCTGAAACCGGTGACACATAGAAGACACACAGCACAGGAAGCTATTATTCCATCGTGCACTCTCCAGCTTCATGTTGGGTTGGGTACATGCAAACATGCTTCGGCCTACACATATCAGTTGAGGATCATGCCACATACCTTCAGGATCAAGGAGTCTGGGGATGCCCAGTTGTGTTTCAGCGATAGTGAAGGCATCCTCCAGATTTTCCCTGTTAGATCTACTTTTCACCTTCTCCAGGTCCACCAGCTCAGGCCGGATGGCGTGAATGACTGAGTGAAAGGCCAGCCCAGTTCTCCAACTCTTCCCGAAGTCTTTCACCTCTATTCCGATCTGCCTGAGTGTGATGGACATAGAAAACAATGTCATGTTCTAAACTGTTAGTTGTGCTTTTCTTTAAGGTTTTGAATAATCTTTTCATTTTAACCAGAGATGTAACGTGTCTACCATAGACAGAATATATCAATCAAAATTTAAGAGGCTATTAAGATGAACACATTTTAATTACATAGTTCTCTTCTGTCTTTTATTTTCTTCTTTTCTTAATTCATTTTGAGAGAACTCTACTGTGCAGTTCAGTTTGGCCCTCCTGCCTCATACTTCTGGAAGTCTGGATGAGAGGTGAATACTACCATGCAGGATTTTCTACAGGACAGTTTTCAATTATTTTTACAACTTGTTAGAACCTTGAAGGGCTTAATTATCTTACATTCTGATAGTTTTCATTTACTTTTGTGTACCATTTACAGTCTGTGTGAAGACAAAGATCATAATTTTATCAGTGATGACTGGCTAGAGTCCCACACAAGATGATTTTAGGAATATTGTCATTGATAGGCTGAAGTGGGGATGGAATCTAAAATCATCACTCTATGTCAGGTAAGAAGTTGAGAAGCACAGGCTAAGATAGCATAAAAGGCAATTTAGACAAAAACTATTGTCAGTTGGGAAGCATATTAATATCATCTGATCTTAAAGAACTTTCATAGCACTGAAGAGTCACTTCTCACCTCTCTATAGTTCATGCAGATATCCAAAGAAATGAAACATAGTAATGCATTGATGGGTAGAGATATCTCATGTCCCCAGTTATATATATTTAAAGACAAGGAAAATAAAATTTTTTACTGATATCAGTAAACAAGCTGTAGGAACAACCTTGAGGTGTCACCATATCCATACTTATGCTAGTGTCCATCATGCAAGTGGATCATGATGAACGCAGACATGAGATCACCATTCTGCCTAGACTTTGGCTGTTCCCTGCCCAGTGAGTGCAATAGATGTAGGGGTACCCAATGCAGTTGCAATGAAGTAATGTATAAGTAATGTAGGAGGGCTCCCAAATTTAATTTCTACTATAGACTCTAAAGAGAAACAAAAGTTTGCTTTTGGAACTATTTCTGATGACATCTTGAGTCACAGACTCCCAAATTAGTAAATCCTCAGCACACTTTAAAAGCTAATCAAAACCACATACATTACTAACATTAATTATATCTTCTGTTCATCTTCTCCCCACTGAACTTTGTTCTTTGAACATTTAAAAAAATAGAACTCACTATATTTAGTGAGTCAATATTTCATAAGATCTTGTTTATAACTATTTTGCAGAAGTAGATAATTAGATTCATATTGAACTTATGCAAACAAACCTGAGAGAAAATGAATTAGCCTCCCATGTCATCGGGGAAGAACAAATGAAAATACCATCTTTTACATAAAGATATTTGTCCCAAATGACAGCAAACCACAAAATAGTATGATCAACTGAAACCCCACCAAATCTGCTAAAAGAAGCTCCTGTACTTACTAAATTTATATCCACTATAATAAAATTGTGGACCTCTGTAAAAGTAGGCTGTATGCAATACTGTTAGAGTGGATAGAGGAGTCCATGCTCCTGATAAAGTCCACAGTGAAAAATAAAAGGGTCTAGAAAGTTTCAGAAAATGTAAACTTCTCCCCCAGGACCTGAACTTTAGCTCACACTGATGTTAAGTAGAACTTGGTGGCCTAATGAAGAGATAATCAAGTATGAACTTTTTACAATCCTCCAAATGAGAGCAGAGATTCAAAACAATGGCCTGATTAGAATTAGCCTTTATACTATGAATTAAAGGTGGGTGATTAATCAATCTTATTAATCAGAGTTAATCACTTATATGAAGAAAGGATTAATTTTATTTCAGAGATTTCCTGGGGCATTATTGGTGCTTGTTTGCCTACATTCATTACTTTTATTATTCTCCACATGTGCCCTGGTGTGCTTGTCAAGGTCAGGGGACAACCTGGAGCAGTTCTCGCCTTCCTATCCTCCTGGGATCTAACTCAGGTGTCAGGCTCAGAAAACAATTGACTTTACTGGCTGAGCCATCTGGCCAGCACTTGTTTTTCTCATTAGAGGAGAGTGAAGCAAAGGCTGAGGAAGAGGCTCATACACATATCTCCTCAAATGCCACAACCTTGAGAAGTGATGGGGGCATTAAACTGGCATTGAGACCTTTACAGGGCTTCAGGTTAAGCAAACTGTTGGCACTTACTTGCCTGCTGTGTGTTGGACCCACTTCAGCAGTGTCTTCTTGGCATTTCCTTGGATCTTGGTGGTCACCTTGCGTTTGCTTGGTGGGCTGGCAGTCTCGGTGCTGACCATGCTGTCCACAGAGGAAGCGCTGCTGGACAGAGACTGCAGCTGTGGTAGGTTGCTGGTCAGCTCTTCGATCTGTATGACCAAGCAGAAAACAGTGAAGATGGTGTTTGCTCCTATTTGCGCAGAGTTTACTTCCCCATGGAGAACTGTCAATTTTAGCATCCTTTATGTCCCCCAGAGGCAGATGAGTTCTTACAGGTTATGGTTCATATCTTAGTCTTTCTAAGAAGTGTTTTTGTTTTTTAAGGCTTATTTATTTTGTGTGTATGAGTGTTTTTCTCTGCTTGTATGTATGTGCACCATGTGTCTCTGGTGCCCGTGGAAGCCAGAGGAGGCCACCAGATCCCCTGGAACTGGAGTTACAGAAGATTATGAGCTGCCATGTGGGTGTTGGGAATTGAACCCAGGTCCTCTGGAAGAGTAACCAGTGCTCTTAACCACTAAGACATCCCTCCAGCCCCTCTTGGTGTTTGTTGTACTTCATATTGCATTTTGGGGTGTATCTTACATACAAAAATATTGACTAGCTGAGGGGATTAATTGATGCTACAGTTGGAGCTTTTTCCTGAGGGTTGGAAGACTTGTTCCCTGTGTGGTGACATGGAAAGGTACTGACATATTCAAAGGCAGACCCTTGAAGGAACCACTGGGGGAGCAGCATTGGGAAGAAGCTGGAGAGTCTTAGGGCTAGTTCTCATGAGTGCAAATCTAGCACCTCAGTTATTTTGTTAAAACAATGGAAAAGGAACTGGTGTAATTAATAAAATAAAACCTAGTGATTACTCTACAGACAAAGGCAGGTTAATTTCTCCCTGCCATGTCTAATAGGACTTAGAACTGCTCCCTGCCCAGGCAAAAAGTAAAGTAACATTTTCCTGAGCCCCTTGTATATCCACAGGTACCTCCACTGTGGGAAGTCTACATTTTAGATGATTACCTCTACTTTTCTTTGGGTGGAGGGTTCACATATGATGTATTTGAGTGGTAGAAATACAAATTTTTCTCTTAAACTATAAATGTGGGGAGTCACATCTCGATTGAGTCAAGGACCAACCAAAGGGTGTAGAAAAGAGGACATTATGAATCTGCCACCCCAGACCTCTTTGATGTCACAGCAAGCAAAGAAGTAGATGTTATACAATACCTGGAAATACAGGATAACAGTCCACATCAACCCAAGAACAATTGACGGACGGCCATCAGCGATATCAGTAGCATTAATGTTGACTAATTTAATCTGTTTAAAAAGAAAAAAAACTGTGTTATTTATTCACTAGAATATTGTGACACATTTAACTATGCAATAATTATGATGCTGTTAGATAACAATAGTATTTGGTCATGCCTGTGTAATAGCACACAAAAATAATAAGGCAAGCCATAGAGACAAATGGGTACATGGGTTTATGAAGATTTCAGGGGCATTTATTGAACATACAAACTGAAAACAACTGTAAAGTGGATCTCAACATTTTCTCTTATTTAAACAAACAAAAAACCCCACAAAATATCACCATGCAGAGAATTAACAACAAAAAGTCAAACAAAAATAGTTATTCTTTATATTTAGAAGTTGACTAAAACAAAAGAAATCACAGTAGGTAGCATTAATAGAAGCATTTACTTTGATGCTTTTTGTCAAATAGCATAACATTATAGGTTTTCTTTTACCTATAAAAGCCAGCAGTTGAAAACTCTAAAATTTGTACTAACCGGCGATCCTCTGTACATGGACTGACATGGAAAACAAAAAGAGAAGATAATGTGTGCATGTAAACAAACCACAGCACTGTTAAGTTGTCCATGGGAACAAAGGGTACATCAGTTAGAGCATGGCAAGAAGACAGGACTTCCAACAGAATAAAGGACAACCAGACAGCTCAGAACAGAGATTATAAGGACTGTGGGATGAAAACAGAGAGCTTTCAGAGTGAGGGTCACTCTACTCATAATGGTTCCTAATTGCCCACTGGAATACTTTCCCTGATATTAAGGTTCTTAAGAAGTGTCATGAATTTAGAGGACCAGTCTGTGTGTCAGTATCCACAAACTAAGTAGGGCTAAATTGGAAAGAGACAGCCTGTCATGAGGGAAGTGTGCCACACACGCATGCATACTTACCTTCTGACTGAGGAGCGAAATCTAGGGATCTACCTGGAAATGCACCTTCAGTGCCAAGCAAGAGTTTTTACTCACAGTTATAAGTTGCATCATTATTTCTATTTGAAAATTAATCAAGACTGAGAATTGTGTATAAACCATAAGGAATGAACAAGGAAATCTATATAGATAGATGTGGTATGATTTCTTAAATACACTTTAAAATAGGAAAGCAAAGTATACACCTACAGTAGTCTACCTTCATGGAAGAAAGGCAGAGGTGTACAAAGACACACCTTACTCATGGAAAGAGATACAGAAAGGATGGCAGAAACTAAGACTGGTTACCTGAAGGTGCAGAGAGAGTCTGCACTATTGTTAAACTTTGACTCTAAGAACAATGGTGATGACTAATTTCTCCCACTAAACCAGGAACTAAAGGCATCCAGTGGTGTGTGTGTGTGTGTGTGTGTGTGTGTGTGTGTGTGTGTGTGTGTGTGATGCAAAATGAATATAAACAGCAGGAGTCTTTTCCATATAAAAATGTAAATACAATTCAGTAGATCTGAAAGAATAGAACTAACCTAGGTCAAAAGGAAAATAGTTTTTGATCTATACAAACTGTAATGTTAAACACAGAAAGATTTGTGCAACTAGATACCTCTCTCTAGTTGCTCACTGTAGTCCCACTGGTGCATGGATTAGCAATTCAACAACTATTTTACATTTAGATTAGAGTTGAAAGGAGAGAATACATTGTTGATGAAATCTAGGTTTCTTTCATTATCAGAGAAAGCTAAAACAAATGAGCAATAGAAGGCCAGGGGAAACAGTTTGGAGGTGGCCTGGGATCAGTGTGAACTAGTTGTTTCATACAGACAGACACACACATACACACACACACACACACACACACACACGCAAAGACATGCAGACATAGAGAAAGACACACATACACACATAAGAGTAAGTGTGTGTGTGTGTGTGTGTGTGTGTGTGTGTGTGTGTGTAGAGAGAGAAATAGAGAGAGGGAAAAAGTGAGGGAAGGAGAAGTGTAGATAGGTGTACACACATGGATTAGAAAACACACTTATTTTTTTAGACCCATTTCTCAAAAGAGCCTAGCTTCAATGATATCCCAGCAGCTACACACATTTCTAGCACACAGACTCGGCTCATAGAGACCATTCGCAAATAAAAAGAAGACATCCCTGGAGAAGTGGTCAGTTCCAGGCCTTTGGAAGAGAAAATATGTGGCCATATGACATAAAAGAGATGATGTGTGGTCTACAGGATGCAGATACCAACTGAAGGAACTCTCAACAGCCATAGCTCGAGTAACAAAACAACACAGCACAGCAGCCACAATAAAATACAACCAGAAAAGCTAAAAACGAATATGAATTGTTAATACTAAAAGAAATAAGTAGTTAAATGAATAGTTCATTTCTTTGTGAATAGTTTCAATATGTATGTGCAGTGAGAAGAACATAGAGTCATTGGTGAGCAAATTGAGCAATAACCATTTGAAGGCAATGGATGTTAAATTTTGAGAACTAAATAATAACATGGTCTTAATTATATCCCTTAAATTATTTCTCAACTGTAAGTGGACAAATAGCAACATACCCTATGAAAACATCCAGATGCACTGGGATTTGAATGTGTCACTACTGACTTTATATGTGATAATATGACCTTTAAATTCAGTCAATAGTATTTGTTGAATTAGACTTTGGTGTGTTACTGGGGTCAGATGAGGGCATTATGGTGGGACTTCCCATGCAGGAAGGATGAGGGAGTTGGGTTGACAGAGAGTTACTTGGTCTCACTGTGTGATATCCAGCATCACATTGTGATATAGCCAGAAGGCAGACGCTTGCACCCAGCAAGCTCTTGGATACTCCAGCTTACAGAACTGTGAGATAGTGGTGTTCTACTCCTTACAAGTCATCCAGTCTTAAGTATTCTGTGATAGCCACAGTGAACAGACTAGGAGGTCGCTTTATCAAGTGATTCGTGTTCACAGCATCAGAATGAAAACAGGAGAAACCTAGATCCATCTGAGTGATATCCTGGGAATAATGTAACATTGCTTTCTTGAGATTCTTGCCAACAATGTGGAACTACAGTCTAATCAGAAGAACACACCCACATAAACCCAAACTGGGAGTTTCTAAAAACTAGCTAATTACCAGTATTCGAAGTGTCAAAGGCCATGAAAGGCTAGGAGTGCATGGAGACCTGCTGTAGAGTGAGAGACATTGAGATGTTTTTTGTGGCATTGGATTGAGTCCGGGGACAATGGTGCACAAACCACTATGCATTTGTTAATGATGTCAGGCTGGCTTAAATTTTCTTGTTTTGGTAACAGTTCCATCATTACGAATGTTCTTAACATGGAGGAGTTGAGTGAAAGTGTAGCTGTGAAGTCTCCTTTTTGCAACCTTTCTGTAAATCTCAATTATTTTACTCCACTCCTGCACATCTACGGTGTACAGACAGTTATGGCCCCACAGACAATAGTGTCAATGCCAGTATACTTAAGCTTTCTTCTTCCAGTGTTGTCACTTTGTTTCTTACCTTCCTTCCTTCAAGGAACTTGAGTGCCGTTCCGATGTTAGCCACAGCATGGATGCGCTTTACCCGGCGTCCTTGTTCACAAGGCTGAGGAAAGAAAGGCATGGCCATAACAACAAGTATGCTCACTGAAAGGCTTCAGATTCCACTCAAGTGTGTTCAAATATATATTGAAGAAGCTTGAAGAGCAGGCACCACCATCCACCTCAGTGAAGTGGGCAGTGTGTAAAAGCATGCTATCCCAGCAGCACTTGGGAGACACATGATTCTCAATAGAGGTTCAATCAGGAGATCTGTCATGGGTTTTCCATATTGATTTCCAAGAATTGAAGTTCAACAAATTCTCATGCTGTCTATTGGGACAGCCACTCCTGCATGGCAAGGCATGCTTATACGAAAAGTACTTTTGGTCACTCCTGCCCCTTTTCTTTAGCTATGAGGACATGAAAGGATGTTGCCAGTTACTAGTTCTTGATCCTGAATGACCAAAAAGTTTGAAGTAAATGAACCAAGAGAATTAAAATGCTTATCTTTTTTTATTTCCAAGTGTTTGTTCCAGACAGTTTATGTTTATGTGATAAAATTCATTATGTGTGTTGTCTGTCACATTTAGCATGAAAATCCAAACTAATTTCAATGAGCCTCTTTTTGTGCACTGGGAACACCAGCATTAATGAGGTTCTTATCTGGTAACATGCCCTCTTCTCTACGAGCCTAGAGTTCTAAACAATATCCCAGGAAATTCAAGACCAAGCATTAGTTATGTTTCCACTAAGTGATAATTTTAGACTATAACTTTTTTAATTTTTATTTTATCTGGTTTTTTGAGGCAGGGTTTCTCTGTGTAGCTTTGGAGCCTGTCCTGGAACTAGTTCTTGTAGACCAGGCTGGTCTCAAACTCACAGAGTTCCACCTGCCTCTGCCTCCCAAGTGCTGGGATTAAAGGCATGTACCACCACTGCCTGGCTCTTTTTTAATATTTAAATAGAAGATATTTTCATGGGTTTTTTTTTTGGTGTTGTTCTTTCCTAAGAACTTATTTATAGCAATACATGTATTATATGTATTGTCCCATTACAGCTCTATGCACAGAACACTGGTTCAGTTTATCTAATTAACTATGAATTGGCATGACAAAGGCATCTGAAAATCCACGAACCAAGATAGGCCAGACTCAGGAGTCCCAAAACCATGTTCTTTCATCCCACCCATATTCATTCTTACTTCTTGTCTTCCCACACCCTTGGCAACCATTTTTAAACTCAGCCCAATGCTTGCCTTTCTTAACAGATTCAATTCATTTATATGCAGTCCCAAAAGTACTTATTTTCAGCCAGGCACAACAGCTCACATCTGTCATCCTAGCTCCCAATGGCCTAACACACGAGGGTTGCCATGAATTTAAGGCCAGCCTAGGCTAAAGACTGGGACCATATGTTAAAAAAAAGAAAAACACTAACATGATTTGATCTGTTGTCTTTATTTAAAAGGTATCTCTGTAGTCATCCCTTGAGGCTTTTCTATACCCCATTTCATTGACAATATTCACCCGAACTATTTCCTTACAGGACCCTCATTCATAGTCAGCCATGGATACATGGGTCTGGTTTAAACTCTTCTGATAGAAGCTGGATCATTTCCAGGACATTGCTGGCTAATAAATCTCATATTTCTCAGCTTGTGTACAAACACAGTTTCTCTCAGGGGTACTTCCCTTAGAATTGCTGAGTCGGGACAATCAATACAATGTTCAAAGTTTAATGCCACACTTTCCCAGAGGGTAGTGCTCTGCTCACTTTTGCAAGAATCGAGAAGATAATTTTGCCAGTCTAAGTCCCCTTCAACACTTGATTTGACAGATGGTTCTTCCATTTTTTTCTTAAATTCAGCATATGTTCTGTTCCCACTCCAGTGCTCATCTGCATATTCCTGACCAGCCAGCACTGGCATAAATATCTCTCCCTCTGACCTGTGGATTTCTCTTGTCAAATTCTTTTCCACATCTCCTGTCCAAGATTTCCTTGGAGTCACTGCTATCTTATTGTTTAGTAAACACACTTTATATGTCCTTGCTCTCACCCTCTTTCAAGCCTCTCCCAGTATAAAATTGTGTCTGTCTTAGGCAGGTGAGAAACTTCTTTTGCCACTTTATTTTGTTTTTATATTATATGTTAATTTAATTTTAATCAAGTTAAAGGAAGAATATTTTCACATCCAGAACTTTGGGTCATGTATTATTTTTTAAACTCAATTTTCTAAAAGATATTCACCTATCTTCTCTAAGTGTAACAAGACCTTATGACGTTAGTACTGAAGGCACACATACAGGAACTGTGCACACGTTTAGGATCTAAAGAACAATTTCATCCTTTTTTAAGTGTTTCCCCCATTCTATTTATTGAATAACCCCTGCTTTCTCACACATCTGACATGAACCTCTAAATTATATTATAAAATTCCATTATGCTTTCTATTTCTCAGCTTCATTAAATTTACCAGTATGAATACCCCATAACAACACACCATGCATTCTAAATATATCTAAAATATGGTATCCTTGAATGATCTGATATCTAGTTGGCAAATTCTTTCTGCCTTTCTTCTTCGGAGGTACACTGGCTCAGTGAGGAAGAGATAAACATCTGTTGGATTATCTTAACTCATGTTTGCACTTGATCTTTGTACAATAATAGATCCAAGTTAGTAGCTATTCTCGATACTAGCCTGTAAACTCTTTGGGGATGTCAGCCATACCTCACTCATCTGTGTTTCTCTAGAGGCATAAGGTAGTGTCATATTCAGACTGCAGACTTGAGGAACACTAGCTTGTCACGCAAGGTGCATAGCAGAATCGAGGTCTGCTCAGTGACTCACAGGATGAACCTAAGGGATTACTGGCACTCAAGTTTTTACCAGTCATGCCTGAGTAGGTGATGGGGCTCCCCAGAATGCAAAGTGATAAAGAGTCTTCCAAACAGCAGGCTTACAGGTCAACAAAACAGACTTGAAGAGCTCAACAGTTGTGGGTATGTGACCGCCGTGTCCCTATTGTTTGTTTTGTGTTTTGCTTTCTTGTTTTTTGTTTCCCACATGGCAAATGCTCACATTCTTTAAATGTCCCACAGTTGATACTCAACTAAACAGGGGAATCTAAGAAGGATAATTTAAAATATGTTAAATTCCCTTAAGTAAAAATCAAAGCCTCACACAATTTCAATTTTAAGTATAACCTAGAAATGATGAACTTATGGGAACAGAGAGCAGAATTGTGGCTATTAGGCTTCAATGTGGGTCTTTTAACAATGGGGAAATGATTGGTTTAAGGATATAAAACTGCAGTTGGACAAGAGGCATGGACTCTCTGAAGTCTTGGGGTCTACTGAGAGCATGATAAATATGGTTCTTTTCAATACTCTATATTTTAAAAGTTGTGAGATAGTATACTTTAAGTGTTCTCAAAACAAAAATGATGAATATGTGTGATATAACATGTTAATTGTTTTAATTTAGCCATGCCATTGTGAACATACTGTATTCTGTATCATAATTGTGCATGACTTTATTTATGAGCTAAATAAATGAATGAAAAAAAAATCAAAGCCAAGGGAGCCATATCCAGGTCATCAAAGGTGACTAGAATATAGAAACCTCACCCTGAGATGCTGGCACTACAGAGTTTGCTAAGCCATTTGGTCACATTTCCTGGATGCTTATCAGAGCCAGAGGCCTGGGCTGCACTACTGTGATGCTCAGGGCAATGCTTGCTATAGAGCTACCCCACCCTGGGATAATTATAGAATTCCCCACGGTGCTGACTCCTAAGGACAATGCTTTGTTCACATTCTTGCTCTGAAAGGCTCTGCGAAAATGGCTAGGGCCTTCATTCCTTTGCACCTTCTTCATCTCCATGTGATCCTGGACCACAGCACATGCATGTGTGAAACTGAAATCACGCATTTATAATCTCAAAGTAACTTCAGTTTATGTGGTTGAGAATCTTAAAGGGTTTAATATCAATAAATAATAATAATAATAAAGGGTCAGGTTAGAAGATGCCCTTATATCTTAGTTTTCCTCTCTGCTAACTGAAACTATTAAAATTTTTGTTATCTTTATGATCCTGTAATACTAACTATGCATGGATGAGTTGGACATTTAAACAGAAGACTGTTTTATCAAAAGTTCACTACTTCTCTTCTAGAATAATTTAACCTAGAATTTAAATGCCCATCAAAAACTTAATAGACGGTCTGTTAAATACAATGGCAGAGTTACACTTGACACTTAGAATGACAAACGTACTCTCACTCAAAGGCTCCTTCAATCTTGAGGTAAATTCAGGAGGACTTGGAAATCAAGGGACTGTGATTTCAGTCTGATTTTCTCAAACACTAATACTGTCTGGTTTATTTAGCTCATTTACATGCCTGTGTGCTCTGAACTGGCTGTTCTGTTCATGTGTGATCTGTTGGGCTCCTTCCACAGCTCAGCACAGACAAGCATTTGTGTGCATGTAGTTGATGGAGGAGGCGTTCCCAGGTAGCTAAGGAAGCCGGACGACTTGGGAGCGAGTCTGAAAAGGAGGAAAGCTAATCAAAGGTGTGCTACTGGAATTTTTTGCTGAGGAGAACTGGAGCTAGGTCCCACTGGGGACTTTATGGGGATGCTCTGAGACCTCTGAACATGTCCCAGAAATGTACTTCCTAAAACTTTATGGATCAAGCAACCATTCCTGGACTCCGATCTTCACTACATAAAATAAAAATCCTGAGGATTTTTTTTTTTTTTTTTGGTGACCTAAATTCTCTTACATTTCAGACTGACAAATGGCCTCTGTGACTCTGGTCAAGCCTGCGGCAGCAACCCAGAGCCATGCTGTTACGGTATGCACAGAGATGTCTCCCATCACCCAAAGCAGAAACCTAAGGAGAGCCAAGATGATGGACACCTGTCTGAAAACATCTGCTGCCCTGTGAGTACAGCTAGAATGGTTTGCATGGAATTCACACCAACTTGTAGTTTCAAACAAACACAACATCCTATGTTCAGGGGAAAAAGTCAAAACTTGATAATCTCTGCTGCAATGATTGTGAAGCTAGAAGAGATAAACCTGAGAGATCCCAGGTCCTTGGGTCACTGGAGAGAACACAACGCTGCTTGTTCTGGATGCAGTCTATCCTGCCCTAGAGGAGGAAGCCAGGGTTAGGTCTCTACTACGCTGTGTACCTCCCATCCCTGCTTGTTTTATTGGCTGTCCCATGTTCATTTTTCTAGAATGAACTCTGGAGCCCCCACAATAGCAACTCCCCTTCATATAAGCTTTACACTAACCTAAGCAGAGAAGGTTTCAGGGAGACTTGGAGCCCCCCTTCCCCCAGGAAGAGATTGGTGTGGCCCAAATGCCTAGGTGGTGGCTCCTGCCCACTCAGCTTCTTTGGGTGTCAAGCGTAGAACTTGGATTTTGCCTCTACAATAGACAGCCTTCACCTCAAGTGTGGCAGATGCCAAGAACTTTGGTGTGCCCTGCATTATCTGTGTGAGCTGTCAACTTATCAGAAAAAGCCCCAAATCAGCACATTGGTCTACCTGACAGACAGCATTAGTGGGGCGCAGTGCCAGATCTCCATGCTGTTGTCTCAGCGACTCTAGACTCTGAGCCTGAGGATCACTTGAGCATGAGCTAAAGGTCAGTCTGGTCAGTGCCCTGAGGCCTCATTGCACCCCCTCCATCCGTGAAGCTACATGTACTGACATTTGTCTTTTTCTTACAATACAAGGTTTAACAAAAAGATCCTAATAAAAGAAAAGGAAGTACTATCAGTTCTAGGCTTCATATCTAGAAGGTATGACAGGTCATTTTGAAATTATTACTTGAACTCTGTTTCTCAATTATAGCAAGTATTTACTTATAAATAGTTATGTCTACAAGGTACTTACTGCTATACTCTAACATAGAAAAAATACATACTTCATATGTATTTTAGTATGTAATAATGTAATGAAAATGTACCTCAGTGCTCACTACCCATGGTGTTTGCACTCTATTGGTTCTATGGGATATAAAAATGCTTCTCTTGAGTATTCTGTTCTTGTTACAAGTGATTAATGATACAAGATGTCTGTGAGAACATGGCAAGTGCCATATTGCCTTCAAACTTAATTTCCAGCAGACAGCCATATAAATACTAAGAGTCAAACCAACAGTTCTTTTGAATAGGAAACAGATGCAGTTATGGTTTTTTTTTTGTTTTTGTTGTTTTGTTTTTTGTTTTTGTTTTTTCAGTTTGACACAAGCTGGTATCATCTGGGAGGAGGGAACCTCCAGCAGATTGGCCTGGAGGCAAGTCTGTAGGAGGTTTTCTTGATTAACAATGGATATGGGAGGACCCAGCTCACTGTAAGGTGATCCTGGGTTGTATCAGAAAGCAAGCTGAGCAAGCTGTGGAAAGCAAGCCCCTATGCAGCATCCCTTCATGGCCTCTGCATCCATTCCTGCCTCCTACTTCCTGCCTAAGGTTCCTACCTGACCTCCCTTCAGTGATGGACTCTGATCTGAGAGTTTGAAGATCAAATTAACTCTTTCCTCCTCTAAGTGGCTTGATCAGAGTTTTACCACAGCCTTAGAAAGCAAAGGAGGACAAACACTTAATGTGAAGCGGTTGTTGGTTTGTAATTTATAACCCCGGTGATTGTCCCTTCCAGATGCACTGTCCACCTCCTCAGGGCACTGAGGACTTCTTCGCTCTTACACATTGCCACTTCAGTCATGGTGCTCTCTGTTCACAAGAGCAAGAGACTATCATACTCTTCATTCCCCAAGAAGGATGGGGGTGGTGGCCAGTGTTTCTGGGATATCAATAATTACTAAGGAAGAAGTTTCTCTTCTGTGGGTAGTATCCCTCCAACACACAATTCTGTCACTCCAGATGGACATGACCATGCAGGTATGATCAGAAAAGATCCTTACCAGTTTCTGCTCAGACAGGACCTCCAGCAGAGCAAGCAGCTTGACGCCATCTTTCATGTCTTCAAAAAGGTCATCCACCACCATAGGGGGCTTCCGCTGCAAGACAAAATGCCACTCACTGGGGTGGAATTCGCATATACTCTTATCCATCCATCCATCCATCCATCCATCCATCCATCCATCCATGCATCCTTCCATTCATCCACTATTTGTGTTATGAGTTGAACCAAGACTGGTTTTATACTAGGCATATGCTCTACCACTAAACTATACCCCTTGACTAACTTTTTATGTAATTACCAGTTACATGCTGAAAGCTTCAGGAAGAAAATTAGACTGGTGTAAATAAAACTGGACATCTAAAAATCTCATTATATTCCATTGCTGAACTCAGAAAAGTCAGGCTGGTGCCCTCGCAGAGCCTTCGCCCCTACTGACTAGTGTTTATGGTACTGGAAGGTACCCTGCATGCTACCAGAGGAGAAGGGCAAACACCAACCCAGTTACAAACCCTGAGAACTAACTACAGTGGTAACCTGCCTGCAAGATACATCGGTACCATAATGGCACAATAACTGCGGGAGTAACCAAGCCCTGACCGGAATTAACGCTCGCTCCATGAGGTGGAATCCATGCCTGACACTGGCCAGCCAGCCAAAAGTCTGAAACAAGATGGGCCATAGACCCACAGGAAGGCAAAGCACTAGTGTTCTGCTAAAGGAACATATCAATGAAATGATTCCTAATGACATTTCTGCTATATCATAGATCAGTGTTTTGCTCTGCTGTCCTTCATCAGAGAGGTTTCCTCCTGCAGTAGGTTGGAATAAATACAGAGACTCACAATGGGACAATGTGCAAAGAGTGAGAGATCTTCAAACACTCAGCCCTGAAAGGGATATTTCCATCATATCCCTTCCCTCAGGACTCGGAACTCTGAAACAGGGGAGGCAGAAAGACTGTAAGAGCCAGTGGGGACCGAAGACAGCAAGGAAACAAGGCCTTCTACTCACAATGGGACTAATGAACATATGTGCTCTTGCAGTGTTCGGCAGCACACACAGGGCATGCACAGGGCTGAGACAGATGAGGTCCCAATGCCAAAAGGGGAAGTAGACACAGGCCCTCATCCCTAATGGGGATGGCCAACACAAAACAGACTCTGTGGTGTTTGTGGAGTGATTTTTGTCTCAAAGTGCTTTTGTAAAAAGTCTTTTCCCCCTTCAGATCTTTTGCTTATCTCCTAACGCTTGCAATTGTGTTTTTATGTGTTTTCTGTGCATGTGAATTTGTGTCTCGACATCTGTATGTGTGTTTCTTGTGACTTTTCTGTGGCTTTTTTTCCTCTGTTTGTTTTGTCCTATTCTGGTCTATTTTGGTTTTTTGCTTATATTATTATTGTTGCTATAATTATTATTTATATGTCTGTATTCTAGTGAGAAAGAAAGGTTGTGGATTTGTATGAGTGGGGAGGCATAGGGGATCTGGGAGGAAGTGGGGAAGAGGACACCGTAATGAGAATATTTTCTAAAAAAATCTATTATCAAAAAGTTAAAAAGATTAAAGCCTCATTATATTTAATGCTTAGGCTTTAATTTCTATATCAGCTCCTTTCTAGAAAGAGAGTTTTTAATGAAGGGTGAGCTGGCATCAGATAAGGGGGAAAGAAAACACTATCAACTAGAGGATCAGAGATTAAAGCAGACTCCAACGAAAGAGCAGGGGTTGGCCCAGACTAAGGGGGTGCAATGTCACTTCACCATGAACAAGGCACAACATGGGACTCAAGGAGCTTCAGCCTCTGAAGAACATTTCCCCGGGGACCATGGGAACACGGGGGCTCCTGAAGTAGTGCACCCAGCACACCTTCCCTCAGAGGAGATGGAGAGTGGGTGAAATGCTGAGCAGACGGGAGCTCATCAGAGAGCTAGGGACAGTCAGCAGTAGGTAAAGACATGATGATTTAATGTTGATGGCCCACAGAGAGGGATGTGCTCGCCACTGAGTCCCAGAAACAAAACTTTGCTGTCTGTCAGAGTTCCAACTCCATAGTTTCCTGACTCCTGCTGAATTTTGTTAAAGGCCTGATGCTTCCCTTTCAACTGTTTTTCTTTTTAAAAATGTGTTCTAGGTAGAGATATTAAGACACGCAATATTCTATTGAGGTCCCCTTTCTCCTCTTCCCACTGACATGAGCCATTTCTATATCTCTCACTGACTGCATGAATTATGGAGGCTGAATGTTATAGTTCTAATTTTAAATGCATTTCTCTTTCTTTTTTAAATGAACAGCTGAACACATTTTGTCCTCATGCTGTGAAATACATGTTCAGAAATAACAGCATTTGCGTTTTCAGTCACTCCTGGTCAGATCCCACCATTCATGCTGCTTCTTAATTATATAGCAAAAATTTAATATGGATTTTACATCCCCAACACATAAGTCAAACTATTTAGAATAAAAAGTCATTGCAATAAAACCAATGTGATATCAAACAAATTATCCATTTATCACCATTATAAGCAGAATACAGGTATAACTCAAAGTACCAACTTGTATCTTAATAACTTAAATGAAGAAAAGCAGTAAGGAAAAGCTCATAAATATATGATAGATTTAGTTAGAAAATACAAATGAAGCCGGGCGTTGGTGGTGCACGCCTTTAATCCCAGCACTCGGGAGGCAGAGGCAGGTGGATCTCTGTGAGTTCGAGGCCAGCCTTGTCTCCAGAGCGAGTGCCAGGATAGGCTTCAAAGCTACACAGAGAAACCTTGATACATAAGGAAAACTAAAGGAAACTGGAAATTCCCACAAAATAATAAACATTGTAAGAACTTTGACACCAAAGCTCTTATATTGCATGGGTGATAATATACATGGGTGATAACATGCATAAATGATAGCATACATGATGATACATGCATGGGTGACAACATGCATAGATGATAGCAACACGATGATAACATGTATGGGTGATAACATGCATGGATGATAGCAACACGATGATACATGCATGGGTGATAACATGCATGGATGATTGCATACATGATTATACATGCATGGGTGATAACATGCATAGATGATAGCATACATGATGATAACATGCATGGGTGGTAGCATGCATAGATGATTGCATACATGAGTGATATCATGCCTGGGTGGATAACATGCATGGGTGATAACATAATAGAAGAAAACATGCAGAGGTGATAACATGCATGGACACTAAACACACACATCTCTCTCTGTCTTTGGAGTACAGTGCGCCATGGTGCTTCTGGAAATGACCTTTGGAATAATCAATGGTGAGTACTAGGCAGGGCCTCAGCTCACTGTCCTCTGCCTGGTGTGACCAACACCATTCTCCTCTTGACCCATTCCTCCAAATCCTCTCACATCTGTCAGCAGGGCTCACAACCTCCCTCCCTGTTCTCTGTCTCTCTGCTTCCTTCTTTTCTTGCTCTTCCTTCCCTTCCTCTTTTCTTTCCCATTTCCCTCCTTTTTTGTATCCCCATCATCCTCTCTTTCTTCTCTCCTTTCCTTCTTTGTTGTGGTCACACTCAATTGAGCATCTTATCCTTCACAAAATTGTCTGCATAGATATCACTCTTGAATCCTTCCTTCCTTCCTTCCTTCCTTCCTTCCTTCCTTCCTTCCTTCCCTCCTTCCAGGAGTTAGCTCCCTAAAGTAGTGTTGAAAACACAGCAGACCCTTTATATGTGTTTCTGGCTGCCTGATTGGATGACTCAGTGAATTAAAGTAAGTATTGTGTGAAATCAATATATATATATATATATATATATATATATATATATATATCAAAACATATCTATTTATCAGAAATCACTTCACAATTAAAAAGAAATCCCATTTTGTACCAAGTATCATTTCTGCACAGCATATGATACCTTTAATGACCACTGTACATTTATTTTTCAGGAGAAAGTCAGACATGAAATCTTTCAGCTGAAGTATCTCTGCGGTTACATGTACAGATATAGCACCAATATGACTTCTTTGGCCAGACTTGGATCATAGGCTTGGGAGCCAAAAGGCAGACAAAAATGAGGATAATTGAATGGAGCCTGATGTAACAGAAAGTAAAGACTGTGGTTTTGTTCCCATTGCTTTTCAAGAACCGATAGAATCATGACCACAATAATGCTAAGTTGGGGTTATTTTGGTAGAATATTAAGAAATCTTACCCATCTGAGTCCCCTTTGGTCTTAGCAATCCATATTCAGTGGAAACTAACATTTTTCTGCCAAGTCTAAGTGTTCAAAAACGGACCTCTTCTTGCACCAAAAATGAAGTACTTTTTTTTTGTGTGTGTGAGCCATTCTTCCTAGAATCTTCTTCAAACAAGGTTTATGTCCTATGAGGTGGCTCGAAAAGGATTCCTTGCCCTCTAATATTTCTAGAAACTCAGAGAACATGCACAGATCTCTGTGGCTGAGGAGCTGGCATTGCCTGGTGAGCCCCTGGATAGTGCATCCACTCAAAAGGGTGAGCCAGGGTGGGGATGCCCATTTCTACCTCCTGTCTGCCTTTGTTTTCATCACAGTAGAGATGCTTTATAACGAGGACCACTGCCTTCCTTTTGGGACTGCAAGAAGATCAAATGTCTCCTTTCTTTTAAAAATATTTGTTTCTAATTGTACATGTGGGTGCCAGGGGGCGTGGTGTATTGCTATTGTGACTCTAGGAGTGTGTGGTGAGTTTGTGTATGTGGTGTTGATGTGTATGTGCGTGACTGTGGTGTGTGTGTGTGTGTGTGTGTGTGTGTGTGTGTCTAATTGTTATTTCTTTACTAGTCGGTAGGCAACAGCATACATTGAGTTCTTACCCACCATTCACTTTATAATGTTTTTCATGAAGGAATGGCCATATTTGCTATTTCATATCAATTTTATGTCCTGAAAAGAAATTCCTTTATAGGGGGAAGGAATAAGAGAATAGCTGAAGAAAAATCATACCAGAAATAACCTTTTTCATGGCATAAAATTTTAAAGAATTCTTACATCTAAAAATTATATATAAATGGAAAATATTGGTGCATAAAGGAAATATTACAAAATAGTCATAGAGAGTGCAT